CCATGGGCCCCCCACCTTTGTATCTGATCTTGAAATCTCCCCTTCTGTTCTCTGACCCTCAAGCTCTGTTGCTCACACTCCCTCTATGAACGAGCTATGGGGAACCCAGAGCACTAAGCAGGCTCACCTACCTACCTACCTGCTTGCCTCCCACCGCTGACTCTGCACCAGTCTGGATAGAGTTCTAAGCCAAAGGCTGACATTCTCCCAGGGACCTGCAGACCCCCTATTCTATACCCAGAAGAGGCTGCTGACTAGCTCCAATGTCCCTGAGCCTCCCCAGGACTATCCGAGTGTTTCTAAAGCAACCCTCTCTAAGCTCTGGAGACTGGACATGCAGGACTCTGGTGTCTGACTTCCTCTTCTGCTTCTGACACCTTCTTTCCCCCATATTCCACAGGAACTGAAAGGCTTTTCTCCCCTTCCTCTTTCTCTCAAGCCAAGACCTCCTTTACATTAAAAAAAAAAAAATCTAGATCCAAGTTTACCAGGCCTCACTCTTATTAAGTGAAAGAGATCTCTAGATATGTAAAAATCCTTTCTCTTGCAATAATGCTTAGATTTGGCTGCTTTATCCCCAGCATCTGGAGAAGTGGCTGGTACAATAGGGACTGAATAAATATTTGCTGAGCAAATGAATGAATGAATGAATGGTCTTGCCTCAGTAAGGCAATAGGCTTGACACATACTCAAACAAAATATCTAATTTGACAGCAAAGCTGAGAAAGCATTTGACAGTCCCAAAGCCCCCATACAATAAGAGTAAAGGGTTATAAAAAATATTCAAAAATATTTCCAAAATATCATTCTAATTACATGCAAATGAGTGAACAATAAATGAACAAATGAATGATTGAATGAATGAGTCAATGTGATCTGGACGATGGAAGAGAAATTACAGATTTGTATAGATTCTGTCTAGTGAGAGATTACCCAGGAGACTCTGGAAACATTTTTTTATCCAATGATCTCTGATGTAACCTGTGCTTTTGAAGAAGAAAAAAGGAATAGTGGTCCCCTAAACTTCTGACTGCTCAGCTTCGATGCTTGGCTCAGCCTGTGTATACTTAACCTATATACCAGCCATTTGACCTCTGGGAAGGGTTTCTTCCTCTGCAGCTACTATTCAAGATATGCAGAGAAAAATACAGAGAGAAGACTTTGTATTCCCAAAGAAGACTTTGTATTCCACTTTAAGGAATTAGTTACAATAGGCTTATCACTAGTAGGTTGGCACTATCATTAAACCCATTTTCAGATGAGGCTACTGAGGCTGAGAGAGACCCAGGGCTACATGGCTCAACTGTAGCCAAGTCAGAACCCACACTCAGGACCCATGCTGCTAACCACTGTGCCATCCTAGCAATAAGGTTCTGCCCAGGAACACTTAATCCTGTTTCTGCTTAGCTGTTGTTTCATGGGCATGGGGTGGATAGCTCTACAGCAATGCTATTGAAAAGAAATATAATGCAAGTCACAGGTGCACTTTTTAAATTTTCGAATGGCCACATTAAAAATTAAAAATAAATAGGTGAAATTAATCTTAATATAATTTATTAACCCAGTGTATCTAAATCATTATCATTTCAACTTATAACTGATATAAAAATTATTAATGAGATATTTTACATTTAATTTTTTATACTAAGTCTTTGAAATCCAGTGTGTATCTTATACTTACTCATGTCTCATTTGGACTGGCCACATTTCAGGTGCTCAAATCCACAGCAGCTAGTGGCTACTGCACCAGACAGTGTGGCCATGAAGGGTCTAACCATATATTAAGTGGTGGCCAATGAGTCTGCTGCTAAGGTTTCCACTGCAGATGCAAGAAAAATGTGTTCTCACACTTTCTGTTGTCTGATTGTGGCAGCCAAGCTTGAACAAGAGAATACAGGAGAAAAGCAAGATGATACAGGGAAAAAAAATGGAGAGAGAATTTTTGCAACTCAAAAATAACCTTGTAAACAGTAAAGAGCCTGTTTCACTCCAAAAAAAAAAAAAGAATCTAAATTTTGAGTTTAAAAAAAAAATCAAAGTATTCTTGATCATTTTCTCAGTTTAACAGTGACAAATAATAGAATTTGAGCTTCAAACTGTCTTATATTCTATTTGCAAAACAATGATACAAAGTTATGGTTTATTTAAAGAAATTTTAGAATAGAGCTTTTGGAGGAAATTTGGCAAGTTAATGACTCATAATATTAAGGCAATATTAGGGTATTCCCTTGATAAGTCAGGTCTTCACTTTGAGGAATTAGTTACAATAAGGAATTTCGTGTTATTTGGGGCTCACTGTTCAGTATAGGATTTAAACAGTTATGGAACAAATTATTCGGAAAGCCTTATGCAACTTGAAGGGATTAATCAGATAACCTGTTGAAGACTCCAGATATTGACTTTACAGAATTCTGAAGTGAACCCCACAGAGTTCTTAAATTTCATAGGACTATTTACCCCATATTCAGTGAAATGTGCCTCCAATGTTCCCTTTACTTCTGCCATTCCATAACCAACAAAGCACATACCCCAAATTGCCCCAATCATCAATAGCCCGTTTTAAAGTTACTTATGTATAAAATAATTAAATTGAATGATTTTCTGTGTTGCTTGTTCTCAGTTCAGTTAAAGACAGAAACTTACCATAGTCACTAGAAAGAGCCTGAAGTCTTCACCATTTTGATGTCTGCTGTGCTAGATGCCTGTCAAAACTATGGCAAGCAAACTCTTCCAGGAACACTGTGCTCTCCTCACACCCACCCGCATCCCTGGGTCAAGAGGCCTAGGGCTCTCAAGCCTTGTTTTCAAAATGTAGTTAGTAAATCTGCATAGAGTTTATCCCCGCTCTACCAACCTTTCAGCAAATCTCTTTGCCATGTGAGATGGACTGCACTATATACTGGGAGTCTGTAACGAAGTGCGAGACACAGTTCCGTTCCCTCAAGGACCTTGTGATCTCATTGGAGAGGCAAGAACCATACGGTAAAAGATAACTGACAATACAGGCAAATGGGAAGTCATTTCCTCTGGAGAAATTTTGCTGGCTCCTTCATGAGTGGCTAGGATTCCCTGTGATGTGTCCACAGCACCTCTGCTAAGCCCACCTTGGCATGAAGCACCCTTTGATTGCTTGCTTAGTGGTCTGTATAACCCGCGTGAGTTTTATGCAAAGACTGCATCTGTCATATTAACTGCTGAATATCTAATACCTAGCTCATGGTAGGCATTTAGTAAATATTTCTTGAATGTGTAACTAAAATGAGTAATGCAGACAATAAGTGTGACAGGAGTTCTGAGTTTGGGAAGACTGGAAGAGTTCACCATGGAGAAGCTAAGATGAACGGGACATAGAAGAGGGAGGTTCTGAGAGTTATCCATGTAAGGACAGTCCATGTAAGTGGAAAGGCAAGAGCAGAGCCCAGTTTTGAGAAGAGGTAAGGAGGATGCAGGGGTGAGTGTGGGAGCACAACGATATAGAAGTTTGAAGAAGTAGATTAGACACATTCATATCCATCCTTTTCTCCTATATCTACATATGGGAAGTTCTATTTCTAGAGTAAATGACTTTTCCAGCTAGTGTGAAGGGAACATGAATAGCAGGCACATTTCTCCTCCCTATTTTATCATTTAATTTCTATATCCTCCATGAATATGTAAACACAAATAAATTTACACATTCTAATAAACCATTACATTTATTATATAGTAGGAAGCGTTGCCAGGAAACCAGTTGTCAAGCAAAGCTATATTTTGAAAAGTGGGTGGTGTATAATTATCTTTAAATATACTTTCTCTGAGTAGTAATTACCCCCACCCTCCACCCCAGCCCAAATCCCTGTGACTCTCCTGAATGGCTATGCACAGGAACAGCACAACTTAGCAGATGCTAGCCTGTCCAAGACAGCCACTCCTTCAGGAGCTCAAGCAGAGCAATTCCAGATCCATGGTACCAGCCTGACCATGTAGCACCCTACAGCCACTACCCCCAAAAACTGACTCCAAGTCAACTCTTGCACACTGTAAAGGAAAGCAAACTTGATTCCCTTGGACTCCGATTAACAAATGTATAACAAATCGGTGGTTTCTGTGACATGAGATTGTATCTACTTACAACATATTCTTTGAAACTACAATGTAAGCTATTTAAGATCAGATGTGAGTTTTTCCTGAAAATTCGTTTTTCAGGAAGAAAAATTGTTTACCCAATTTCTCTATAATATTAATAACCACAATAACAAGGAAAAAGCAGAGTCCCACCAAAGCCAGATAAGACTCCTCAGTACCAGTCTGGCCACCTCCAGAGGTTGTGCTCACTAAGAACCACCTGGGACCTGTTGTCCCCTTCTGTTGCCCCTCCTTTCACCCTCCCCTATGCTCACTCTTACCCTGTGTGTCTGGAGGATGCAAGCCTCGCTAACTGTATTTGGAAACCAAAATTTTATGACCCCGAGGCGTTTATTCTCTGTGTAGTGAATTCTCTCAAGTAACAGACAAGTGTCCCCTACAAAGGTTTGGCACTCCCTGGAGAGGGCATTCCAGCACCCACGGTGATGTAGGGGTCAGATCAGAACACTACCCTATTAATCCTTTCCTCCCTCCCTGTTCTGTAAGCCCAAAACTAAGCTCTCCTTTCAGTTCTGAGGAAACCATACCCTTCATAGATGTCCTCCTCACTTTTCTAATCTCATTATAGATTTTAACAAAGTTTTGATAACAGGATTTTCCTCAGACAGTAGGTAGAAAAATGACAGAGTAGAAATATAGATGAAGTCAAGCTATTCCAAAAGGCAGTTTGGAGTGGGTGAAGGGATTCATAACAGCAGAGGTCTACCCCCCTGGAAACCTAGGATACAAATACAAATACAGATGTGCATGGACAGTTGCTCCAAGATTCTGCTTCGTTTTTCCCCACGTCGTTATTACCCAACCCTTCTTTATTTCTCCCTCTGTCTTCAACTGCCTGATGGGTCTCTCTATATACATGACCTGCCAGTACCTCAAATGCATTTCCTGAGCTGAGCACCCCACCTTTCTCCTCAGAGCGACCTCCCTGCCCCAGTCACTGCTGCTCCTTGTCTGTCCCTATACTGGTTAGAGGTGCCACTCTACCAGCTCAGCCTGGCTAGAAATTTGGGCCGTCCCTTCGGTACCCTTCTCTTAACCGCACACCTAGTGAGGCTCAAAGGCCTATTGATTCTGCCTCCAAAATTGATGTCAACTCAGTGTCCTTCATCATCTCAAACCCATAAGGCTGAAAGAGCATTCTTCATACTATTCCTGATCTAGAAATTGACAGACTGATTGTCATTCTCCCTCTCAAAGTCCTTAGTCTGCATCGCCTTCCCAAGCAACTCTCCGGCATCCCTTTCTGACTCTCCTTTGAACAGTGTAGGCATTTATTAAATGTTTGGTCAACAGTTACTAAATATAGCTATATATTTTGTCTGTATCATGAGGATGAAATTAGGTATAAGCTTTAAACCCCTCTACCATAGAATTATAAAATGTAGCTATTTCCTTGAGATCATGTAACTTAATGGGCCTCAGCCATGGTTACATATTAGAACCACCTGGGAACTTCAAAAGCTACCCATAGTGTTTTGGGGTATTTAAAAAATACCCAGCCCCTAGAAAATTGGATTTAATTGGTTTGCACTTAGGACGTGAGTATTAGTGGGGTTTTTTGGTTATGTGTTTAAGCTTTCCCATGTAATTCTGTATGCAGCCAGGTTTGAGAATCACTGACAAAAGTCCCTAACCAAGAGACCATGGGACCATTATATGGACCATAGCTGAGCTTCAAGGGGAACATGTGCTGCCTGAACTTGTATGTAGAGGTGTGAGTATATGTGGGTGCCTTCGTTTTTCTGCACAGAGGATCTAAACATTCATCAGATTCTCAAAAGATTCTATAACCCCCCAAAAAGCAAAGAACCTCTGATCCAGATTCAGCCCTTACACTCTACAAATGAGGCAGCACAGAGTAAGAGCAAGAGACAGGGCTGGGAGAAAACCAAGGCTGGATCTGCCGCTGTGCAGTATTGGTCAATGGACTTAACCTCTATGACCCTTAATTTTCTCCTCCTCAAAGTCAGGATAATGCTTGCTTTGCAGAGTTATTTAAAGAATTAGGGAGAAGGCATGAGACGTGCCTAATAGGGTAGAAAGCACACATGAAGTTTCGTTAATGGTAAACATTATTAGTCCTAATACTTCCATCACTACTAATAGTACTCTTAATACTTTCAGTACTATTTCTAATAATGCCATTATTATAAAATAAAAAGTATTTCCTATTTTTCGAGCACCTTCAGCTTTATGCTAGACACATTATATGGTATTGCATCAATGCCCACAACAACCCCATGTGGCTGGCCCTATTCCCTGTTTCACAGATGAGAGGACCATAGCAGGGACATGCCCAAGGCCACACAGCTAAGTGGTAGCACCTAGTCAACTTAATGGAAAGCTTATCTCCTCACCACCAGGTTGCACTGCTCTAGTGAGGCCAAGTCAGTCGAGATGAAAGGAAGCCACAGTGCTACCTTTCGGATTACAAGAAATTTGAATTTCACAGCCACCTCCCTCCCATCCTTCTCTCCTTGCCTGCCCTTTTCCAGCCGCTACTGGCGCCGGTGGAATCGGTTCTGCAGAAGAAAGTGTCGCGCCGCAGTCAAGTCCAATGTTTTCTATTGGCTCGTGATTTTCCTGGTGTTCCTCAACACGCTCACCATCGCCTCAGAGCATTACAACCAGCCTCACTGGCTCACAGAAGTCCAAGGTGAGAGGCAGCCCCTACTACTATCCTGGTTTACTCTAGCCACCTCAGCCCTGAATTCCAAGGAGGGAACAGCCACAGGTAGAAGGTGGACGGGAAAGCAGCCAGTGGCCACGGCTCTTAGCAGGTGCCATGCTGGGGACACCAAGGGCCTAGAAGCTTGCAGGCCTCACAATAAAATGCACAACCTCATTATAAACAGACGTGGCTCACCTGGCTGGGTCCACATCATCTGCCTGCCCAGGTGGTCACTTTTGGGTCCAAGTGACAAGGACACATGCTAAAGCTTGTTTGGCTATCTCAGACCCTTGGCTGCCAACTCCCCAGATTGGATTTTCAGTACGCGGGCTTTACTCTTGCCTCCAGGTCTGTCTGGAAGTAAGTCAAGGTGCACTTGCCAGAACAGTTGAGGATGAGGTGAGCAAAAAGGCACGAGAGATGACAGAGTGGCCTGAGCACAGGGAGCTGTCCTCGATAGATAGTTAATGCCCATGTCCCTGCATGAACCCCTAGGAGAGGACCTCACTAGCCAGCTCCTCAGCACCACTCCGAAGGAGTCAGGCAGGCACAGGGGCTGCATTTCAGAACTCTGGGCATGGTCAGTCTCCCCATGCAGAGGGCAGACTCTGATGGCTTGTCTTCACCTCCTGGCTGATCAGTTTGGGAAGATTACTCATCTCTCTGAACCTCGCTTCTTATCTTTGAAAAAACGGACACAATGACAGTAACACCTATCTCACAGAGCTGCTTGAGGAGTAAAGAAAATAAGGCACGCAAAGCCTTTGATGCTGGTAGAAACAGTAGTCCCCCTGTTTGCAGTTTTGCTTTCCAAGGTTTCAGTTACCTGTAGTCGACTGTGGTCAAAATATTAAATGGAAAATTCCAGAAATAAACAATTCATACGTTTTAAAATTTCACACCGTTCTGAATAGTGTGGTGACATCTCACATCATTCCACCCCATCCTGCTTGAGATGTGCACCATCCCTTTGTCCAGTGTCTCCACGCTGTAGACATCCCCCCTCCCATTAGTTACTTAGTAACCATCTTGATTATCAGGTCAGTTGTCACAGTATCACAGTGCTTGTGTTCAAACAACCCTGATTTTACTTATCAGTGGCCCCAAGGCACAAGAGTAGTGATGCTGGCAATTTGGATGTGCCAAAGAGAAGCTGTAACATGCTTTTAAGTGAACAGGTAAGTACAGTACAATAAGTTAGTTTGAGAGAGAGAGACAACATTCATGCATATTGTTATAATTGTTATATGTTATAATTATTGTTCTTAATCTCTTACCGTGCCTAATTTATAAGTTAAACTTTATCATAAGTACAGATTTATAGGAAAAGACATAATATATACAGGGTTTGGTACTATCCAAGGTTTCAGGGGGTAGTAGCACTGGGGATCCTGGAACATACCCCCCACAGATAAGGATGGGAGGGGTGCTATAGTTCTCTGAAAATATTTATTGTGATTGTAACTAGATGCCCCTTTCCCGTAAATTGCACCCTAATTGTTCTGTTCTGGTGGCAGTGGATGGGAGAGCTGTGCTGGCTGGGAAGGGAAAACATTTGACCTTCTTTCCAGTGGTGAAAATTACCGTGTTTTCTTTCTCCTCCTCCCACTTCTTCCTCATCTTGCATGCATTTGGATCCCTCCCCCACTCCTGAACCTGCCAGACACAGCCAACAAGGCACTACTGGCCCTTTTCACGGCAGAGATGCTGCTGAAGGTGTACAGCCTGGGCTTGCAGGCCTACTTCGTGTCCCTGTTCAACCGCTTTGACTGCTTCGTGGTGTGCGGGGGCATCCTGGAGACCATCCTGGTGGAGACCAAGGTCATGTCTCCCCTGGGCATCTCCGTGCTCAGATGCGTCCGACTACTGAGGATATTTAAAATCACAAGGTATTTCTCTTCAGACACGGGTCTTGGGGAGAAGTTCTTCCAGAAGGTTAAGGAGGCTGAAAGCCATGGGTGGGAGAGTAGCTGCTATTTCTAGATTGGTCTCTCCTTGGCTCATATACAACAGAGGGGAGCTTTTAGATGGCATATCATTTAGAAATTCCTTTGGCTGCTAATTCATTTAGATGGCATATCATTTAGAAATTCCTTTGGCTGCTAATACCAGAAACAGCTCAGTAGGGTAAGCAAATTAGGGATTTATTCAATTGTATAAAGGACGTCTAGACGTAGACATCCCTGGTGGCTAAAAGAAGGCATCGGGGACCTATTCTCCTTCTGTTCTTTGCTTTGCTAGCCTTAGGCATGCCTTCCACCCCAAAGTCACAAGGTGGGTCCTGGAGATTGAGCCATCACGTTCAAATTTGAGGCAGGAAGAGAAAGGGCTGAGGGTAAAGGGGACACCCATACCACTGAGTCAGCCCCTTCCAGATCTCTCCCAGAACTCTCACCAGAAGCTCTGTTCTCGTGGCCACCTCAGCTGTGAGAGAGACTGAGAAATACGGTCTTTACCTGGGTGTGTCCTGCCGCAAATGCAGTAAAGTTGCCTTAACTGAAGAAGGGTAATGGATGCTGTGACACAGATGGCTTTCATCCCTCCTTCCACACGTTCACCCCCTCTCCATCTGTCTGTCCATCTGCCCATCCAAAGACTGTAGTCTTCCTGCCTCTCCAGGTCAAGCAGTGATTCTCATGTGGAGGACAGACAGGGCCAGGGGACAGGGAGTGGGAAACATGCTCTAGGACAATAATTTTCAACTGTGTTGTGACCCATTTTGAATAATGAAATCAGTTTATTGGATCACAACCATCATTTTTAAACAGCTTTATTGAGATATAATTCATATACTAATAAATTTACGCTTTTCAAGTGTACAATTCAATTTTTATGTATATTCACACAGTTTTACAACCATCACCACAATCTAGTTTTAGAACATTTTTATGACCCCAAAAAGAAACCCATACCTACTCTCATTTCCCCTAACCTTCTCTCCCAGTAGCAACCACTAATTTACTTTCTGCCCCTATAAATTTGCCTATTCTGGACAATTGATCTAAATGAAATCATACAATATATGGTGTTTTGTGTCTGGCTTCTTTCATTTGGCATAATGGTTTCAAGTTTCCCCCAGTTTGTATCATGTATCAGTACTTCATTCCTTTCTATGGCTCAATCATATTCCACTATATGGGAATATATCCCATTTTGTTTATCCATTCATCTGTTGGTAGACATTTGGTTTATTTCTACCTTTTGGTTAGTATGAATAATGCAGCTATGAAGCACTGATGTTCAAGTTTTTGTATGAGTGTATTTCATGCTCTTGGATATATGCTTAGCAGTAAGTATTTCAAATTTCCAGGTCATTTGATAACTCTTTATCTCAGATTTTGAAGAAACATCAAACTTTTCCAAAGAGACTAGGCCATTTTACATTCTCACCGGTGATATATAAAGGTTCCAATTTCTCCACATTCTCAGTTTTAATGAAAGAATGAAGTAAAATAGGAATATCAGAAGGCCTCACATGAATGTACACATCGTTTCATAAAAATCTTTGACATATATATCTGAGCTGCAGTATAATATATCTTTCTCACTGTGGGTCATGGCCAAACTTAGATGGACATATCAAAAACACCTGGAGGGGAAGGGGTTCAAACTGTGCCCCCCAGAGGTACAATCCTCCTGAAGAATCTCTGCTTTGGGGGCCTGGCTGATAATAGGAACCCTGAAACCATCAGTTGGATTGTGCTGGAAATAAAGGGGGTGGGGTGGATGTATTCCAGTCAAGGATCCGAGGTAACTGTCCCCGCCCTGCTCAGAGTGCTCTGAGCATGACTGAGGGAGTGACTCAGGGCTCACAAAGCATCCTGAGGTGCTACTGTTCTCTTCACAGCGCTCTCAGCAACCACTCCGCACACACTTGTCCCTGTGGTGTTGTCTAGGGTAAGGCATTTATTATTAAAGTGTTCGGCTCAGTGCCAGGCACAGGAGGCACTCAACAGCTGGGGCACATGTTATTAATCTAATTATAATTGTCCTTATTAGGAGAAGGAAGAAGGAGAGAAGAGCTAATGGTGGTCTATACATACACGCTCCCTTACTTTTATTTGTTTATCCACTGTGTACATACTATGGGTCAAGTCCTGCTGTGGGGATTGGGAACAAGAGAGCACCCCTGAGGAAGGTTTAATATCAGACAGACTCAAAGTATTTGTAGAATTTAAATGTACAAGTTTAACACTCCTGAGCAACCACCCCATCCCTCTGCCCCCCTCCCCTGCCGCCCACCAAAAAAAAAAGAGCTTCTCTTGAATATCCTAAATATCTTGGCATTACAGAAAATTCTTGGTTTAAATAAAAGTAGTAGAAATATAATAACAATCATTGTTAACATGCATCAATGCTTAATCCATGCCAGATAGTGTGATTCTAATGCTCACATGTGTTTGCTCCATTAATCCTCACAATTACCTATAAGAGAGGTTGAGGAGAGACTACTATTATCATCACTCCCATTTTGCAGATGAGAAAACTATGGCTTAAAGAGTTAAGTTGCTTGGCCAAGGCCACACAAAGTACTCAGGGGCAAAGCTGGCATTAAAAGGCAAGTCTGTCTGACTGACTTCAGGTCCCAGCTTCAAGTTCAGTGCAGTTCATGACGATGAACTGCAGAGTTAGCTAAACTGTCTTGTCATCTATGACGGGACTTAAGGGATTTTTAGCATACCGATTCTTGGTGTTAGAGAATTGCTCATTCTACTTTCTCTTCCTGAGGTCTTGGTAAAAGCTATTTTTAATTTGGAGTTTGTAGTGCCTCTTAAATAATTTTCAAAAGTTCATATGTTTGGGGTTTTGTTTTTGTTGGTTTGTATTTTAAATTCCTGTAAGGAAGAATTTTGTCCCTAGATAATGTCATAGCATCTTGAAAAGATTTAACATTCATTCTATTTTTAATCAATAATTTATCTATTTCTAATCTGAAACTATTGCCAAGAATCTATTTCCTTAAATCTGTCTTTATCAGAGAGCTTCCCAAAGTCTCTCCACAAGAAAGATTAGTGTTATTTTCAGATTTCTGTAAACTCTATAAACAGAATAAATTCATTATCTAATTGGAAGCACTTTGGCAAAGGCCATCATCTTCCTGTTTCCAGTCTCCAAACCCTCTGGGGCTTTTGGAAAACAACAGAAAGACTAACTGTGTTGGGGAGTCCCATGCTCCCTCTGAACCTTGTCTCCAATAGGCCAAGAAAATGCCAAAAATATGGGATGGGAGCAGACATTGGAGTCCCTTGAGATGGTTTGTCTGTGCATGGTCCTGCCGACAAACAAGTGTATTTCTTCCCCATCTTTTAAAATCTCTTGGAGAATACTTTGTGATGTCTCACAACCACTTTTTCACTGTGTATTCTGAACCATTGATCATGATTCTCAAACTTAGTCGAACTCATTAGGAGACCTTGTTAGGGACCTCACCTCTAGAGATCTGACCAGCAATTCCTGGACGGTTTTGTGCTGGTGGTCCAATGACCTCACTTTGAGAAACACTGGCCTAATTTTCTGCTGCTGTCCTTTGTCTACTTTCTTGCCTAAAAAGACGAGCCTTCATATCTAATTGGAAACCTTGATTCTTCCATCTCCACTCTCTTCTCTATACTGAAGCTCCAACCATGTTAAGATTGTACTTTTGATAGTTCTTGACTGAGAAAACACATAATGATAAAGAGCTACTATGAATTCACCAGTTTTTAAATTAACGTGAATTTTATTAATTTCTACACAACTAAATACCTTTGAAGGGTGGTAATATAAATTCAAGACAGGCTATTTATTTAAAATGCTGTAGTGCTTGGCATGTGCATGAATTCGTGGATTCTATCCTACAATTCCAAGTTGCTCCCTGCCACCCAGGCCCTGGAGTCTAAGAGCTGGAAATACTGATCTAGACCAATGGCCTCAACCATGACATCATGACGCATCACTATACCCAGAGCAGTTGAACAGTGTCTACGAGGAAATTTGCTATTACTAAGAGCTAAGATACCAAAATTCATAAATGGTTTCCTTTTAAAACCCTTTTCTCATTTAGAAAAGAAAAGGTGCGGCTCACATAGGAATGCTACATTTTCTAGGATTTGATATTTTCAGCTATTGAAAACAATAGCTAAAAACAATACTATAAATAGAACAATGTCATTTGTTTCCAAAGATTATTGATACACTAGAGTGACGCAAACATAATAATAAAAATGAGATATTTCATTGCAAATTTTGGGAGTAAGGTTAGGACTGTATTCCATGAGTTATCTCGGGGCAAATGAGAAAAGAGTTAAAAAAATAAATAAAAATAAATGCAATATTGTTCCTGTAACACCCTCCCTCTTTGCCTTCCTGAATGCTTTTATGAATGGGCAAGAATGGGGTGGACTTACCATCCACCATGCTGCCTGAAGGGGGTCTTTGGGGTATGAATATAGTAGATGATGAAAATTAATTATTAACGTGCTTACATTTTTTGTATATTGTGAAAATTTGAGAATACCTGAGGAAATATACTGTGTTACCAAAATCATTTACCTATGGGTCTCATAAAAATATTTTTTAAAACTAAACTGTAGGTCAATTGATGTCTGAGTGTTCATCATATTATGAGCAGGAAGTCCCAGAACAGGAAAGAATAGAGAAGAGAACATTCCAATCCCCCAAGGACAGAGAGGCAAGGACCTGGCCAAAATCTTTGTCATCTTTGGGGACATTACCCATGACACTGGGCCTTCCAGCCACCTGCTGGATTGCATTCTTTCTCCTCTTTGAAGCACTATGGGGATCTAAATGTTGCTGAGTTCTGATATCTAGTTTATCTACTCTTTGTCAGCCCAGTCTGATATATGGGGAGGAAGAAGAGTTTCAATTAGATTAAATCTGGATGTAATTG